GAAGCCCTGTTGAGGGTCTCCATCCCGATGGACTCAAATCATAAACCAGAGCAGTGCCGTCGGTTCCGTCAGACCCAATGGCAGCTCTTAGATGCCAATGCATCAGCCACCAGCATGACTGAGCTGGAGACAGAGCCCTGCTTGGATGGATGGATTTATGATCAAAGTGTTTTCAAGTCTACCATCGTAACAGAGGTAATAAATGAATGGCCTGCAGTGATGGCCAGAAGTGAATTCAGTGTGGACTTAGGATAAATCCACTTCAGTTGCCTGAAGGTACATGACACTACAGGAAGCTTGCATAAAGCATCGAATTAATAAAAAAGAGTGGGGACTAAGAATTTTGAATATGTAAATGCCTATGTCCCTTGAAGTGCTTTTAGGAGCCTGGGTGGCACAAGCAGTTTGCTTTAAGATGCTAACAAAAGGTTAGTGAGTGGAACCCACCTGAGAGAAGGACTGGTGATCCATAAAAATTGTGGTCCAGAAAAAACAAGAAGCACTTCTCTATTACATGAATGGGTTGCTATGTGTCAGGGACTGACTCAATGGCGGCTGATTATATGTGATTTAACATGCAATGGTTTTCATGATTTCAAATGTATGTGGCTATTGCGTTAGGTCATATAAGCTAAGGTACTTAAACTATATAGACCTCACTTTTCTCATGAAATCTAGATGGTTCATTAGGTAAAGTGTTGACTGTAAAGAAGTGAAAACTATTGATTCAGATTATGAGTTTGAGTCTCTGGACACTAGCTTACAATATTGTATCTGCTTATCTCAGCTTTCTTATTTTAAAATTATGACTCTTAAAAAGGAAAAGAGTTATATCTTCAGTTCTTAGGAAGACTCCACTTTAGTCTTATTTTTTTCATTGTTAAGCCTATCAGATTGTTCCAAATATACAGCAACCTCATGCACCAGAGAACAAAACACTGCCTACTCTTATGCCATTCTCATAGCTGTTATGTTTCAGGTCATTATAGAACTCTATGTGTCAGTTCAAATTATTGAGGGTCTTCCTCTTTTTCACTGAGCTTCTACTACATTAAGTATGATAAGCATGATGGTCCTCTCTCAGGGACTGGTACCTTCTGATCACTTGTCTGAAATACATGAGAGAAAGCCTTGTAATCCTCACTTGCAGGGAGCATTCTTGCTGATAGATTTGATCATTCTCTTGGCATAT